TATGCAGCCACTTCAGTCCATGTATTGATCTCACCTTCCCTCCCCAATTCACCCTAGATTAGACACTACACAAAGATAGACCACAACACCGGGCACTACGTGCCCTACTCTTTTCGAAGAGTGTGTGGGTTCTTTAACGTCCCACAATTTTTATCACATATAAGGGCTTGTGAGACGGGACCTCCATTTATCGTCCCTATCCGAGAAGACTAGAAAGTCTAACCATTTGCAGATATTATTACAAAGGCAGCACTTTCTTCTCAGTTATTTAAAGACCCTGAGTGTTGGTCCGGCCGGAGTCGAACTCTCGACCTCCCGCACAACAGTCCAGCGCTATACCAACTGAGCGAACCGGGAGGTGAATAGTTGTTAATTATCCAACAACAGGTAATGAGAATACTCAGACTTATCAGGTAGAAGTTGTAAATGTGTGGCAGCCAGAAGGGAGAATTAGCGACTATAGGGTTACGTCCTTGAAACACCGAAGTTCAGAAGATATTTCTCTTTGAATTATCAGAGTGTCCACAAGGTTTATTTGGAAATAATTGTACCCAGTCCTGCTCCTGCGTTCGTGGAACATGTGATCCTCACAACGGCACCTGTGAATGTCCACCTGGTTTCCACGGTTCCCTGTGCGAGAAGCCATGCCCCAGTGGATGGTATGGCCCTGGGTGTGGTCTACAGTGTTTTTGCGGTAATGGCACTGCTTGTGATCATGAATCAGGACAGTGTAGATGTTCTCCTGGTTGGACAGGTTTGACGTGTCAGCAATCGTGTTCCGACGTTTCCACCGTCGTTGGCTTTTTCGGAGCAAACTGCTCTGAAAGGTTAGTCTTAGAATGTCGAAAGAGGATCACGAAAAGAAACAAGAAGACCCTCAGCTCTTAAGAGCTTGTCTGAATGATAGATTTTGACGATCGACGGTTCACGAATGCTGTTTTAAAACACGAATCCCAGACGAATTGTTAGCTTTACTGCTTCGATTGTTATAATTATGACGGTTGGATAGTGATAGGTATTTTAAGCTTTTCAATCTTGGAGAGCTCTGTAGAAGTCACCTGTTTGATAAATTATGTCCGTACAATCCATAAATGGAGTTTTGTTTATCAATCTGCATTAGATGTGTGTGTCCGGGGTCATGTGATCCAGTAAAAGGCACTTGCTCTTGTCCAAGTGGATTCCGAGGTCCGAACTGCATCGAGTCCTGTCCTAAGGGGAGGTATGGACCCAAATGCTTACAGACGTGCCACTGCATGAACAGTGCATCGTGTAATCACGTGAGCGGCACGTGCACATGTGCGCCGGGATGGTCTGGGGAGAACTGCACAGAGAGGTGCCCAACTGGCCATTATGGATTACAGTGTGCCTCCAAGTGCCAGTGCAGTATGAATGGTACGGAGGTTTCTACATGTGATTCGGTGACAGGGGAGTGCAATTGTCGACCTGGCTATAGAGGTTACAGGTACGAATCACTTCCTATTTTGCTTGCGATAGATTTGAAGGAATGTTCAGTATGTTGGGTAAGACTTTACTTCTATCATTTTGTTGATGTTAAAAGTCATAACAAGTGCATTCGCTGTAGTGGTTTTGGACTCGTTATATTTGACGTCAGAAAGACCCTGCACTTTAGTCTTTTACCTCACAATGATTGATTTTTGTTCTCGCTTGTTTCTGACTGGTTGCTAATACTTCGTTCAAAGTACCTCTAGGAATATTTAACAACTATTTGTCGAAGTGGCGGTGGCTAGTGGTGGATATTTGTCGAGCCGCTAAGTGGCGTTGTAAATATCCACTGCTAGCCACGGAATCTGAGGTAAATCGTTGTCAACTCCTTAAAGAGAGCTCAAATGCTCGGGGGTGAGTTGCAAGGGATATTCGGAGTTTAAGTAACCAATCAAAGAACGCCCTCAACGCTATCCACTGTTTTAGCATATGGTAATTCACATTAGTTTCAGTGAAATACTGTGTGTTTCGTTACGATTATGTCTAAGTCTTTTCTGTTTGTCCAAGGTGCGAAGAGCAGTGTCCTGAAGGTTTTTTCGGCAAAAACTGCAGCCAGCGATGTAATTGTGAGAACAGTTACGCTTGTGACTTTACAGATGGGACTTGTTACTGTAAACCTGGATATCACGGACAAACATGTCAGCTAAGCTGCGGGACAGGCTACTATGGTATTAACTGCAATAATACTTGCCAGTGTAATAAATCAAACACTAGGTCATGCGACAAGGCTGACGGAAGTTGCACGTGCCAGGACGGATATGCGGGTGTCTTTTGCGAGAGTGTGTGTTCCGACGGTTACTATGGAAGAAACTGTGTTCAGAAGTGTACGTGCAAAAATGATGCTGCTTGTGATCACGTGAAGGGCGAGTGCAGTTGCGCAGCTGGATTTCGAGGTCGAAATTGCGACAAAGCGTGTGATGAGGGCAGGTTTGGTGCCAATTGCGCTTACACTTGCTCATGTCGAAATGGCGCGAGATGTAATTCTTTTACTGGCAAGTGCGTCTGTTTACCTGGCTTCTCGGGCAATCGTTGTGAATCTGAATGCCCCAGTGGCCGGTACGGTTTTCACTGTAGACTTCCCTGTGACTGTAACCTGGGCAATAGTCCCAAATGCGACCCCGGCACAGGTCGGTGCATTTGTGCACCAGGGTTCAAAGGTACCAGGTGTGATGAGGTTAGTGTACTCGTTGTTGTAGTAATGGTTTATTAAAATAACTCTTGTCACCTTAACATCAGATTGCTTCTGCTACATACTGTTCTCGATAAATTTCTTTAGGAGCTCACAAGGAAAATTTGAGTAACAATCAAGATCATTTTAGTTGGTGATGATTTCCTCTATTCTGGTGGCCTTTCTGTTTGATTCAGGGGTGATGTTGTAATAAGAATTATATGCTAGTACTGTTAGAGGTCAAAGGGTTGAATTCTTTAGAATAAAATGCAGTCATTACTGGGGGAGACACCCCTTAATGAAAACAAACTTCAAGGAAGCTGAAAAGGGTATCAAGCCGTAAGCTACTTTTCTCATGGCATCATGGCAGCTAAATTTGCATTTTTGTTCCTCAAGATATGTTCTTTAAGGAAAGGAGACCTTAAAATGAAGCTGGGGTAGTGGATAACCTCGTTCCCAGGGCCTTTTCTCTTAGTTGGGGGTGGAAAAGGAAAAAGGCCCTGGGAACGAGGTTGGGTAGTGGAAGCTTACCGGTGCAAGTATACAAATTTGGCCCTACAGTTGATCTCTTTCTGACTTTATTCCTAGTCCATGCGAGTCATTCTGGTTTGTTTTCGTCCTAAAGATTCTACGACATTCTCTATACTTTGACCGAGATTAAAGAGATGTTTAGGAGATATTTCGAATTTGTAACCGCCTCCCGGTTAGCTCAATTGGTTAGAGCGTCGGATTGTGATGTGCCATCCTCGGAGACCCAGGGGCTGTAAGTCGATTTCAAGTTGAAATCGACTCACAGCCCCTGGGTCTCCGAGGATGGTGATGTGCGTGCGGAGGTCGGGGGTTCGAGCCCCGGCCGGACCAATACTCATGGTCTTAAAATAAGTGAGGAGAATTTGCTACCTTTCTATAATCAAGAAATGGATAGATATTCTAGTCTTCTCGGATAAGGACGAATAAACCGTTGGCCCCGTCTCCTGGCAGGGTTAGGGGTAGGAGACGTTAATTTCCCACGCACGAGATTACTGTGTGGGGGATGTCCTCCCTTGGGTGGGATGGATGGGTGTTGGCTCTGAAAAGCCCGTATGGGGAGTGGTCAATCAACCTATGTATGTATTTGTAAATATAGAGTATAACATTAACGATGAAATTTACTTTGAAACATTTTCTTTTAGTCAGCCATTTTGTCTTTGGCTTTATTTTTACAGCCTTGTGATGATGATTTCTATGGCGAGGAGTGTAAAACACAATGTCCCATATGTTCAAGACACGCGTTCGGTGCATGTGAGAAGGTGCATGGCAACTGCACGTGCACCTCTGGTTACCAAGGATACCTTTGCTTTGATGACTGTGCGCTGGACCGATATGGCTTGCATTGCAAGGAAGTGTGTGAGTGTTCGGTAGACGAGCTTTGCCATCACATCAACGGGATGTGTTTGGATCTATCCAGAGGAAAATTTAGCCTGATCGTCAACGATAGTGTAGACGAGCTTGACCTACTTGCAAGGAAGAGAGACATTAAGCTAGGGTTGGAAAAACTAATGGAACTTTATTATGACAAAACTGATGACGGGCGCACTCGAGCTCGTCGCAGTTTACTCGATAACGACAATGAAACTTCCCATAGCACGGATGAACCATCAGATCAGCCTTCTGGCCCTGAAAGCAGTGACACTCATGAGAAGAAGGGAGCCAAGCATGTGTTCATGGTCCGCCTGCTGGAGCTGCAGCCAGTGCTGACGGAAAACCAGGATAATGGCACAAGAGTGGTTTGTGTTCTCCTCGATAACTTTACTGTGGTGGATGGGCATTATGTGGATGAAGTCCTCTCCAGAGTACCCAGTGAGGATATTTCTTCGTCTCTCCAAGTCGAGTACTACACTGGCAAACTGTACAAAAAAAAAACTGGTTCCACCATAGCGGTACACCTTCCACTTATCATTGGTGTCTCTGTTGGTAAGTGGAGTAACGTAGAGTAATGTAACGCAGAGACTGAGTGACTGACTAATCAACAGATTGACTGCTTGCTTCACTGATAAACTGACTGACTAGCTGACCGGCTGGCTGGCTGGCTGGCTGACTGACTTAATGACAATTATTGACTGACTAGCGCATTGACAATCGTAATGACTGTCCCAGTGAGTAGCTTAATGACTGACTCAACAACTTACGGAGTGAGTGGCCTCAATGACTGACTCGATGACTACTCGGCGGTGGACTGACTGACCTAATTACTGACTGACTGGCTCATTAATTGGCTCAATGGCTGACCCGTTGACTGACTCGGTGATTAACTACTGATAGACTAACTGATTCAATGACTGACGCACTGAT